TGGCCAGGAAAAGCTGTCCAGCTGGCCTTTTAAGGCAGCTCTAACTCCCTTTTGTACCTTTCTATGAAAGAAAGATCACAATATTTAATTAAAGTTACACAGATTTGATAACATACTAAAAGTTATTACATTAAGAGATGATAACACAAAATACTTAAAATGGTACAAATTCTTCACTCAAGGTAGTAAATGCTTTTTGAGTGGACAACAATATACCAGCAACATAGCATGGTGACTAAGTTGTTTATAACATTGGTTAAATCCTCTCTTCCCTTATAACTCTAATATTCATAAAACTACTAATAAAGCCATGTTAGGTTGTGAAATCTATTTCTGTATTCACAGCTTACTTTCATTTTGAAAGGATCCTCAGAAAGACTGCTATCTTCTTTTTGTAACAGGAAGAAAGGAGCACACTTTATAAGAAGTGCTTCTAATTCCCTGTAATCAACTTGTCAGTCTTTGGCTGCCCAATTTTCAAGGTAGATGCCTGATCATTAAGAATATTCATCAACTTGGGAGCTCCTGCAAAATTACAAGAACTATTTCACAGCTGAACCTAATTTTTCCCCCCTCTTTTTTTTTTGTTTCTTCATAAACACACAAGAATTGGCCCGTGGACCTCAAGGTGTATGTACCCTCAGCTGAAAATCACTCCTCCACAAAAAAGTGGAAACTTAAAACCCCAGTAATTTTGCTAACAGACTCAAAAGCATTGGGTGTCTTTGTATCTATGTTTTCCTACGAGAAACATCATGTTCAGATATAACATTAACTTAGAAGATATTGGCAGACCAATATCAAATTAATGAAAAGTCCAGGGTGTCCTGTCAATTTCTAAGAACAGCCCTTAACAAGTGAAGGACAATAGGGTGTTATTAAATTACAAAATAATTCTGCCCATTCATTATTTAATGAAAACTTTTCTATGCTATAGATTGATGTCTGATGTAACTCCATTAATTCAGATTAATTGCACCATATGAATTCAACCTGAGTGACTTCACATCACTCTAATATTTAGTTAGAACCCTTACTGCCTTTTAATGCACATACATTTCATCTGCTAACAACATGAAAAGTATTATTTGGTAAGCACAGGCATCTCGAGTGAATACCTCCTCTCTCTTCCTGAACACCGAACAATTTCTGTTTTACTGGTTTTGGCATTTCTGCCTACAGAACTCCTACAAGTTCTTCATCAACACCTTTACAGGTAAGGCTGGACAAAGGAAAGCCTCCCAACAGAGGGATCTGTCTCAGCCGAGCGAGGCAAACTGCCCTGCTCCACCCAGGAGAGGGCACTCTTACACCTGGCCACGCAACCGGACATGGACACCTATAGGAGGAACAGGAAAGTTAAGATAACATCTTAAAACTCGGCCAACTTGCACGACCAGTTAGTTATTTTTATGATAACGCTAATCACAGGTAAGTTGAATCATCCAGATGCTGCCACAACAGGAACGCAATATGACAGACAATAAACGTGTGGGCTCAATTTATTCTTAGTCTCTGAAATGTGCTGAATGATATGCACATAAATTTCTGCATTTCTCTGGTAAAAGCTGGGATCATAGAAAGAGAGCTGTAAGTGTACCTTCCGTGGAAAACGAAGGTTAAATTTAAAAATAACCTAGTAATATGAATATTAGTTGTTACCTTTTTAAAAGAATATAAAGCACTATTATAAATAAGCATGCAAACATTTAAATACAAAGTGCATATAAACTAGTACTAATACAGCCTGTAAGTTAATCCTTATATGGATATCTCATGAAATAAATAAAATAAGAATTTAAAATGCTACAGGTTCAACCCCTATTTCTGAAGGGATGGAAATCTATATACATATCTCTTGAGACAGCTTTCCTCTCCAATAAGTAATCCTCCAGCAACAAAGAGAGAAGATCAAGCCTGACATTTTTGATTTTTCTAAACTAAAGAAGCCGAGATGAAGAGGAGGTAGTTTTGTTATGCAAGACATAAAACAGTAAAAGAGAAATAGAATGCTGCATACTGCAAAGTTAATGTTTCAAAAATCCCATTTTCCTCTAATCACAGGGGACTATCTCAATAATTCCAAATTTTCTCTGAGTAATTCTACTATAAAAGTGTTATATTGATATGAAAATAATAACATTCGGAAAATGTGGAAATGAGAAAAAGATCACCAAGAACCTTGGAGAACGGAAAGCACTTAGTGCTGTCACAGGCACGTGGGAGTCCCCGGGCCGCACACTGGGGCTGGGGCATCCACAGTCTGAGAGAGAGGAACCCTGCACATGCGGCTACATCGGGTGTACAGCGAGCCCGTTGTGCACACACTCTGCAGGAGCCATAGCCACTTTTGCATGAAAATGTGGGGAACTGTTTCCTACACACAGGTTGCATGACAGACAGTACTTCCCACATGACGTGGGAAACGCCAGTGTTTAGGATGTTTGGTTATCCCAGCATTGGCTAATGAATATTGTTAGCCTTTCCATATTGAGAGGCCTTATAACCACTGACCCTACCAATGCTCCTCCTGCAATAACCTTACATAGTTTGAACTTCAACTAGGTCTCCTTCTCCCACTTCCAGAAACCTTTCAAAACAATATGCCAGTCATATAAACAATGCATAGATACTCAGAATTGTATCTCTCACTCTATTAGTTGTGATCAACACCAACAAACAGGTAAAAGCATAAACTAATCTGCAGCCAGTTTGTAAAAGCTGCTATTGAAAGAGTTGTTCAGTATGAGACTATCATGTATGGATTTTTCTAAGGGCAAAAGACTAATCAGAACTTAATCCAGGGCTTTATTATCACTATACCATAAAATACATTAGGGAGTCATACATGGAAATCCCTGAAATCACACAAAGAGGCTATGTTCTCAATTTTTGTCTAAGCATTATCTTTTTTAACAAAGCAAAAATAGAACAACAAACAAACAAACCCAGCTTCCCAAAAAAACCCAAACCAAACCCCAAAACACCTTTTGAAAATCTATGGTCCTGTTCTACGCTAAAACCCTGTAGAATCTTCTGTAAAATAGTATAGGAGTATAAAAAAGTATAGGAGGTATAAAATGATACTTCCAGCTTGCTGATTATGTAAGGTACTGATTTTTATGTAGATTTTGATCCTGGCAAAACTCACCACTATTCTGTTCTACAAGCCAAAAAGCCTTTCCATATCTGTCTTTCAGCAAAGAGAAAATTAACACAGTATTATGGTGAATATGAAACAGTTGTGAGGTAAGTGAAAAATGCCTACTTAAGGACAAGGGAAAGGAATGGGGTATACCAAGGAAAAGGGATAGAGTAATTCATATTAATTTCATTTTTGCAGCAACAGACTCTGACATTTGTAATCCAAATGAGCACGTGAAAATGAACCTAGGTACAAACCAGACAAAATCATTGCCCTTTACCATGGCTGTTACTGGATGTTCACTACCTATAACATAAAAGCATACTCACAGGAACACAAAGGATTTTGACACTTAATAAAGGTCATGTTTTCCATTCCATTCAGAGGAAAATCTGAATATTGGAAGCTTACCTTCTTTCTGTGAGCTGTCTGAAAAGACATGAAGGATTTAACCAGGAGATTTTATGTATTACCTTTATTATTTTTGTCTATAGTAGTCATAGTTGTTCAGCACACTACAAACCTAACTTTCATCTAAGAGGCAAAAAAGAGTTATCATCCTTTCTGTATTGGTGACAAACAAGGACACAGAAAAGCCATGGCCTACCTCTTCAAAAGGAATTTAAGACATATCAGTGGAACTCAGTTGTCTAAATTATTCTGAAAATTAAGGTTCAATATCACACTATTAAGTCATTAAAAAGAAACCTGGCGTACTGCAAAATGGTCCTTTTCATAAAGGTATTGAAAACCTCAGCTGAAAAACTGGATTGTATGATACATTTTTAAAGTTTTCATCTGAAAAAAAAATTGTTGAACAGATGCACATGGTATAACATTTTTATAGAAAAATGAGCTTTTTCCAGTCAAACTACATGGGAAGATTAAACACATTAAAAGAACTGTATGCATCTGTATATAGTTGACAGATTTTAAAAAATTCTTGATTTTTTTGTTGCTTGTATTTTCTTTATAGTGTATATAATAGCCAAAATGCTGTGTATACTAATGGAGGTGAAAGAAGAGCACTTGCAGATAACAGCCCTACCAGAAGTTGACTCTTGTTGAGATAAATGTCCGTGTTGTACGTTGTCCTGCACTGCACTGTTGAAAGGGGGCCGGCCCTATAAAATGTTCCTGTAAGCCTCAACCTCTTGAAAGCCTCTAGTTCCTGAATAAACAACAGTTCAAAATGTTCTCCTCTGAAAATCTATGCTCTTTGATAACATACCTTACTTTATACACCTCAGGTTAGAAGTTATGGTTGCTGTTTCCCTATTTCAGATTTCAGAACAGAAGCAGCATCGTGGGTGCCCACGTTTGCTTCTGCAATAAAATGTCCATTAGATAGGGCTGACCTTTGCCGTTTACTCTACTTTTAAAACATTGTAGCAGAATCTGTGAAAAGAAGCAGTTCCTTTCACTGTCCCCATTAAGTAACCTGTTTCTGGGCCTGCAAATTCCCTGGTCCCGCGTGAGGAGGCACCAGTGTCTCCAGAGGGAGGGGGAAAGGGGAGGAGGAGCAGGTCTGGGCGAGAGACGTGTAAGGAATAACATTTTTCTCTGCCGAGCATAATGGGGGGGAAAAAATAGATGAGAACCGCTGTTATGGGCCCGGGTGAGCAGATTCTCAAGTTACGTGAGAGCCCCCTAGTTCTTTTTGCTCGGGGGCTTCACCAGAAGACATACCAGCTGCTCCTCGAGCCAGCTGTTTCCTCAGCGACACCTCAGACACTTCTTCCGCTACTGCGGAGCCGGCCCAGCCTTCCCACGGGTGCTCCTTGAGCCGTTCGCCGGCCCGGTGCCTCAGGGCTCACTCCGCTGCCGGTACAGGGCCGGGCGGGAGCCATGACGACACAACGGCCTCAGCTGTGCCCCGGGGCCCGCCCGCGGCGGAGCTCTGCCTGAGGGGGTGCCTCCTCACGCTCTCGCCACGGGCCCGCCCGGCCCGTGACGGGGCGAGCGGCTCGGGCAGGTGTCTCCCGGGACGGGCGGGTGGGCGGCCGGCGGGGCGAACCCCTGCGCCTCCACAGGTGGGCAGCGCACCCTTCCTTCGGGGTCACCGGGAAGGAGGCGGCCCACAGCCACACGCCGCAGCCGCCCCACCGGCAGCGTCCAGCCACGGCCCCCCCGGCCCCGCCGCCGCCCCGGTGCCGCTCCGGCCGCACTCCTGCGGCCCCTCCTGAGGAGCGGCGGCCGCCCTTTCGCGCATGCTCGGCGCGGGCGCCATTTTGGTAGGGCCGGGAGTTCTCCAGCGGAGCGGCGGCGGAGCTCGCTGGGCCCGGCGCGGAGGGGGCGAGGAGTGCCCGCTGCGGAGATGGCCAACATCGCGGTGCAGAGGATCAAGCGGGAGTTCAAGGAGGTGCTGAAGAGCGAAGAGGTCAGAGCCTCTCCCCCCTCCCCTGCGCGCCGCCGCCACCACCCTTCCCCGTGTGAGCGTGGGCAGCAGTGGACGGTGCGGGTGCCCCGCCGGCCTTCGTGGGGACCCCGCACCCCCCTCGGCCCCACCTCCCCGTGCTGGAGGTGGGCCCGTCCCACGGCATCTGGGAGGGGAATAGCGATTCCTGGGGAGACGGGGCCCGCCAGCCGTTGGGAGGAGGAGGAGGGGGCCGCAGGAAGCGCGGCGGCAGGGCCCGAAGAGGCTGGGCGGGCCGGCCCCCGGCGAGGGCTCCCGGCGGTCGGTGCTCGGGAGCGCCGCCAGGCCGGAGGCCGCGGAGCGGGGCGGGCGGGGCCGGGCGGCCTCCGCGGGGACCCCCGGCACGCGCCCTCCCGCGTCCGCCCGTGCGGCGCCGGGAGGGTCGGATGAAGCGGACTGGGGAGGGTGAGGTGGGGGTGCGTGATCCCACACATCCCCTTCAGCTGACCCCAGAAGGTGCAGGGTGCGGGTTTAAGGTTTGCTGGTTTTTAGCGGTTGCTATTAAACCTCCATTTAGCTTCGCGGTGTACAGAACTTCCTTTATCCCACTGCAGGCTTGCTCACCTTCAGAAGGATGCTTTTAAAGCCTCACTCATTTCAGTCATGTTACCTCGTTTCCTGATCAGTATGTTCAGAGGTATGTGGTGGTCAGTAAGAAAGGCTGACTACTTTCAGGGCAGCAGTAAAGAAGTTCTGATCACTTTGGGGGGAATATATAGCAGTGCTTGCAGGGTTGCATCAATACAGCTTTTGCTGTGTCTGTGTCTGAGTTGGTGGACGTCAGCCAGATAGGTTTTAATGGTTGTGTCGTCATTGTCGTCCTACTTGGGATGATGTTGCAGGTTAGATCCTTGTGAAATATTAATGTGAATATGTAACTCTTGAAGCTGGTGTTTCAGAAATCTGGACATATTCACAGAGAAAAAATTGAGAGGATAATTTTTGAAAGGTACTAATGGCTTGAGGAAAACACGTTTGGGGTAGCAGTAGTTGATGTACTTTTAAATTGTGTGCTAACAACATTGTTGCTATGCATCATGAAGTAGCCCCTAAAAAATGGAAGGGCCTTGTTTTATAGCTGCCTTTAGAGCCCAGGCTGATTTTGCCAAGCTATTGCATAGCAAATACAGAATTGCATGGAGACCAAGAGAAATTTCTAGGTGGATACCTTTGTAGCAATGCTAGAAAATGTAGACCTCACACCCCATATAACCAGCTGATACTGTGGAAACAAGTCTGTTTGGAAGTGCTTTCTAAAGGCTTCAAAACCCTTTCCCTTTGCTTTATGTAGAGAAAAAAAAGCCAAAAAACCCTTAACTTACATAGCTTTTGGGGGAGGTGAATGGTAAATTTTCTTACTGTAAAGGTTGGATCCAGTGTGCACATTTTTGACTATTTCTGTTTGTTTAGTCTGCAGGACACGGTTAGAATTTTGGAAATTGATATTATTATAAGAGAGCCTTTGAGCTGCCTAAAGCTAGCCAGAAAAAAGGTCATAATTCTTATGAAGTTCAATTTAATGGAATTTCAAAATCATAGTACAGCAGACTCTTGATATTTCTTTTTCTTCTGCCATTAGCAGGCTACATAAGTGTCATGATATATTAGTATGTATAAAATTGCTGTTTAAAGACTACACTAACTCCCATATCTTTAATGCAGAATTTCAGCATTACTCAATGGTTATCAAAGTTGCAAGCAAAGTTTTTTTGTGAATGTTGATACATTCCAGGGCAGTCAAACTATGGTGTCATTATCACTGGGTGTGAAAACATGTGGAGTGGGATGATGAATGAAGGTCCAAATAAATACTACAAATCACAAAACAAAACAAAAAAAAAGGTGCTTTCTTACTATTTACTAAAATTATTAAACATGGTTTCTTCAAAAATAAATAAATCTTTTTAATGAATGGCAATGCAAAATTTGTTGTTTAGAAGTTTGCAAGTCCCTCTCTGAAAGCAAAGTGGCTCACATTATCTTTTCTTAAATTATTCCTGATTTAATGCTTTGACTACCTGAAGAGCAGCTCCCCCCTCCCCTTTTCCCTGTAGATGTAATAGGAGCACAAATGCCTGGGAAGGCGATAGGCTCACAGGGAGAAAAGTACATAGGAAAAGTACATAGTTCTCTGTCTTCTTCACCTTTATGCTGAAATAGAGTGGTGGAACCAGAAATGGTTTTGAAAGGGAGCAGCTGGATGACAGTTAATTCCTTCTGCATTTGAAGAATGTGTTGGAAGTGCTAAACACACTGTAAAGTGTGTTTATCCTTGCTATGGATAAGGATCTATCAATCCTTGCTACTCAGGACTAAATATGCTTTTCATATTACTTAGCACTTCCTTTTTCCTTGAATGCAAGTTCTGGGAAATAGCTAAAATGTGTAATACTACCTTGCTCTCTGGTTTACAGATGAGAGATGAAGAATCTTCCATATTTCTAAGTTGAGTCTGGGACTTCTTGAGTGTTTTGCAAAAGTATTAAAGCCTTTTCATGCTTGAGGAAGAGAAAAGTGCTTCTGCTCTGCTTGCTTTATTATTTGCAGTTTTGTTGTAAACACGACATTACATTAAGAAGTAGGGTATTATTAATTTAAGAGAGATACCTGTAACTTTGCATCTCTTATATATTTGAATTAGATAAAACTAACTGAAGTTTCTTTGTCAGGAGTGCTCTCTAAAGAATGATTTTTAAACTTCCTACTTTTGTGTGTGGAGAAAGATTTACAGTTCTAAGATAGGTGAGGTATTGTGCATCTGTAACAAAGATAAAGTTGTTAAGTTAGCCTAGGTAGTAACTTTACTGGTTAAATATGTGTAGGCAAGGGATCAGATGTACCACTTTATCTCTCTCTTTGTTCTGTCATTTTATTAATCTGTTTTCTTGTTGGTTTTATGGGCTGAAATGCTAAAGCTACAAAATGTATGTTGAACAAAAGTATGAAGCTGCAGCATGATGGAGAAACCAATGAAGAGGTGGAAGGAGAACAGTATCCCAGTTTTACTAAGAAGGAGAAAGTTTTAGTGAAGGTTAGCTGATAGTATTTTTAGATTAAGTTACTAGAATGCTGCAGTGGGTAGCCAAATCCTTACCTGCTCTCTGTTTATAAGTTGCTATCTTATGAGAGGGAGAACTTGCCTGTCATTTAATAATGAATAGAAACATATTGAAGGATCTTGTGGTTACTTAAAGACTGATGCTGAGGCGTGTTGTAATTGATCAGGTGTGTTAAACATTGTGTGACTTGTTTTTTGTAATTTAATAAAGCATCAGTGTTTACTTTGAAGAAATTATACTATGCTAGCAGTGAAGGATTCAATGTTTGATTGGCCATCCACTTTTTTTTATCATGTGGAAATACAAGGTATTCTCTACTAATTGATACCTTTTGCAGTGAAAACTCTAATCTGATATTGAAGGTGACACATTGAGAAACATAGCTTCCTTCTAGCAAGAAGAGAATTGCTGGTATATCTACCACGAAGTGTTCTTCTCTTACAAATGTGAAGAGACGTTTCTGGCAGGTAAATCCAGGTAGAGCTGAGAGTAAATTTAACTCAGCTGCAGTTATGGACTATTGCATTAATGTGGTTACAACAGAGTATGAGTATTTTCATGAGCTGATACCTGAAGTAGCAGTGTAAATTTGCAGCTTGCTTGATCCCAAAACAGCATTCAAGCAAAGATACTGGATTAACAACAAAAACTTCAAGTACTCGATTTCCAAGAAGGAAATGAGTTTGTTTTGAAGTCTGCTATGTTTCAATGATTTGCAGGTGAAAGGGAAGGGAAAAATAGCTGTAGTCTGCCATACCTTTCTTGGACTTGTAAAGACCCAGTGAGTAGTTCTCATGTTGGCTTTTATCATTGCCTTTAGTGGTCTTGTTATTTATGTCAGTATATAGCAAGATACTGAGTAACATCTCTGAAAATATTTTTGCTGTTTGGAAAAGCCATAGATACTTAATCTTCAGGCTCATAAAAATTCATTGCTTTAGTTTGTTTATGTTTGGGCAGTCTTGGGTGCTAAATACTGAATCCACTAATGTAGAAACTTCTGGTTTTAATTGTATTTTAGTGTTAGTAGGATTCTTGTTTTTCTTCCTATTTATCATGTAGAAGCAATATAGGTATTTATAAGAATGAAATTTCTTCTGTTATGGTTCCTCAGCAACATACATGTTTTAAACAGTATCCATTTTACGGTGGTACATGTGCTTAACCTTTGAATTGTAAGAGTAGTCACATTGAAGTCAGTAGAAGTTTAGTGAGTGCAGTGGGATTGTCGTCCTGGTTTAATCCCAGTGCTGTGCAGCTGCTCAATCAGATGCCCCACTCCTCCCCACAGGGGTCTAGGAAGAACTAGAAAAAAGATAAAACCCGCGAGTTAAGATAAGAGCGGTTCAATAATTTGAATAAAGTAAAATATGGTAAAAATAATGGAAAGGGAGGTTACAAAAAGAGAGAGAAGAATGAAACTGGAGGAAGACAAGGAATGCCCAGTGCAATTGCTCACCACCTGTTCATCTGTTCCCAGCCCATCCCAGCAGCAATCAGCAGCTCCCAGCCAATCCCCCCCAGTTCTGTACTGAGTGTGACATTCTTTGGGATGGAACATCCCTTTGGCCAGTTTGGGTGAGCTGTCCTGGCCATGCACCCTCCTGGTTTCCTGTTCCTGTGCTCGCTGGCAGAGCATGGGAAACTATGAAGTCCTTGACTTAGACTAAGCTGTACCCAGCAACATCAGTGTGTTATCAACATTATTCTCAGACTGAATCCAAAACCCAGCCCTGTATCAGCTACTAGGAAAAAAATTAACTCTGTCCCAGCCAAAACCAGGACAACGGTGTGAAAAAAGTTTGAGTGTGCTTAGTTGATTAAAAGACATAAAGGTAAAAAAAGGTGTAAACATAAGAACGCTTAAAGTGTCATTTTTGGTACTAGTCTCTCAGAAGCCTCCATATGATTAAAAAAGTACGTGTGGAGCATGGGGCTGCTATGCAAAAAGGAATCTTAGTAGGCTGGAGAAATGAATGTCCTGGCAGGAACCTTTTGAAGCTCAGCTAAGGTAGGTGCCAAGTCCTACACCTGGGAGGAAGTAACTCCATGCATCCATATGTACAGTCAGGAGACTGACTGGAAACGAAGCAGTCTAGCAGGAAAAGAACTTCATGGCCTAGTGAAAAGCAAGTTGAACGTGGTGGCGGCAAAGAAGTCCAGCCACATACTGGATTGCATTAGCAAGAATATAGTCAGTGGGTTTTGAGATGCGATTCTTCACCTCTGTTCTGTGCTTGAGAGAACATGTGTGGTGTTCTGTGTTCAGACACATACATGAATGAACTGAGCAGAAAATTGTCAAGGTGGTTAAGGGACTGGAGCACAAGATGTGTGAGAAGATGGTGAAAGATGATGTTGTTGAGAGAGCTATTGAGAGGGACATCTTCCTGTTATCTATAAATACCTAATGAGAGACCCTTGAGAAGAGGCAGACTTGTCTCAGAAGTGCATGGGAATGTGGTAAGAGGTGGCAGACTCAAGCTGGAACATGGGAAATTCTGACCAGACAGTGGGGAAAAAAATTAAATGGTAGTAGTCAAACATTTCAGCAGCATGATCAGCAAGCTTGCAGAAT